GCCCCATTCAATATGAAGTCATCGCAACACTGACCTTTTTTTGCCACCAGAGTGGGAACTACCAAGAAGAGCAATTCAATCTCTTTTTCCACCGGTCCTAACCTTTTCCTCTTTTCTTTCTTTTAGATTTGGAAAGGCATTTCTTACACATACACAAAATCCCTTTTCCTCTATACGGCAAGCAATCCACAGAACTTTTCCTAACTTTAGTCTAATAAAGATATTCTGCTCTTGGGGCTGGAGTGATAGTACAGTGGATAGTGCACTTGCCCTGCATGTGGCTAACCTGGGTTCAATCCTCAGCACTACATATGGTTCTCCAAGCCCACCTGTCTTGCATGAGGCCGACCTGGGTTCTATCCCTGGCACCCCATATGGTACCCCAAGCCCTGACAGAAGTGATACCCAAACACAGAATCAGAAGTAAGCCTTGAGTACAGCTGAGTGTGGCCCAAAACAGAGATATTGCTCTTTATAAATACATCTACAAACAGGATAATCTGATATAGTGAACTGAGATTTTATATATACCTCCGCCCCTCTCGGAGAGCCCGGCAAGCTACCGAGAGTATCTCGCCCGCACGGCAAAGCCTGGCAAGCTACCCGTGACGTATTCGATACACCAAAAACAGTAACAACAAGTCTCACAATTTGTTGTGAGACGTTACTGGTGCCCACTCCAGCAAACTGATGAACAACGGGATGACGGTGCTACAGTGCGGTGCTACACACACATATATATGTATATTATATACATATGTATGTGTGTATATATGTGTGTGTATATATACATATATATGTATGTGTGTGTGTATATTCAGTAATTTAAAAAAATTACTACTAAATATTTTCAAGATACTCCACTTATGGGTCAGAGTGATAGCATAGCGGGTAGGGCGTTGGCCTTGCATGCAGACGACCGGGGTTCGATTCCTCCACCCCTCTCGGAGAGCCCGGCAAGCTAACCAAGAGTATTCCGCCCGCATGGCAAAGTCTGGCAAGCTACCTGTGACATGCTCCACATGCCAAAAACAGTAACAACAAATCTCACAATGGAGACATTATTGGTGCCTGCTCAAGAAAATCGATGAACGGGAGGACAGTGTTACAGTGCTCCCTTCTCAAGCTTCCAAATTTTGTGTCTACTTATTTATTTCCCTTCAAACTAAGCAAACTCTCAGAATTTGTAAAAAAAAAAATCTCAGTTACTTTTCATAAAATATGGATATTTAAAATCCATGTTTTAAATATTAACTGGTTGGTAATATTACATTTATGTTGTTACTATTATAATCATGGATGGCTATTTCACCCAAATTTTATAGAAAAGGATTTCGGGGGATGACAAGCTACAATTCTACAAAACCCTGTGTGTGTGTGTGTGTGTGTGTGTGTGTGTGTGTGTGTGTGTGTGTGCGCGCGCACATGTACTGTAACAGAATGAGAGAATGACATAGATGGATACTAGGGATTAAACCACACACATGCCAGGCACATGTTCTACCAAGAATGTACTGAGCTAAATTCTGGGCTATAAACCATTTCTAACAATGAAATTTTAAATGAATTTTCATACACACACACACACACACACACATATATAAAGCTAAATACTGTTTTTAGAAGGGGAGTCTGGGCGGAGGGGCTGTGTCTTAACCCTTGTGCCATCTCTCTAGGCCCTAGAATGCTATTTTTACATGATATAAAATGTATACAAAATAGTGATTTGTTAAGTTGAGATTTAGCTCAGTGGCAAAGCTTGCTTTGCATGAGTGAGGCTCTAAGCACAACACCTGAAATTCAGGAAGGGGGGAGGGGTGTGTCCTAGTTGCTAGGAGGGATATAAAGCTAGTACATGGTATCTGTCTTACAAGCCCTGTAGACCATTCCAGGCCTTTCTTTAACACACTAGCCAAAATCGTACAGGTTTAACACCTAAAATCCATAAAATATTTTGTAAAAGTTTACTTACTAAGAAATTCAGGGAATATTCAGTTTTCCCAGAACCTTCTGGACAAAATTAATTTACTGATCCCTAAATATAACTTTTATATTGTTATAACACTTATCATAGTCTACTTCTATACCGTGAAAGTACTATACCCTGCATAAAGAAAATTAATCTACAGAAATAAAATTCTTCAGGGTCTGGAGCGATAGCACAGCAGGTAGGGCTTTTGCCTTGCACATGGCCGACCTGGGTTCAATTCCCAGCATTCCATATGGTCCCCCAAGCACCGCCAGGAGTGATTCCTGAGTGAAGAGCCAGGAGTAATCCCTGTGTATCGCCAGGTGTGACCCAAAAAGAAAATAAATAAATAAATAAATAAATAAAATTCTTCACTCCTTATAAGTGTTACTATGAACAAATCACTTTGTTATCTAGTCTGTAAAACAGTGACAAAAGAATTCCATTCCTTAAGCATTACCAGGTGTGACCCCCAAACAAACAACAACAACAAAAGTAGTAATTTGAGCTAGAGCAATAGAACAGTAGGCAGGGTGCTTGCCTTGCATGCAAGCGCACCTGGATTCCGTCCCAGCGTTCCATATGGTCCCCCAATCCCTACCAGGAATAATTCCTGAGCACAGAGCCAGGAGTAAATCCCAAGCATCGTCCGGTATGCCTCCCCCCTCAAAACAAAACAAAAAAACCTTCATTGCCATCCTAAATAATTATTAAGATCAAGCAGCGTGTATCTGTATGTCACTACAGTATTTTTCAAAGTGTCTTGCATATAATGGGCACACATCAATTTGATTAAGTTGAAAGATGGTATGGAAGGAAAATGAGAGCAAAACTGAAATACCACCTAATTCTAAAAAGAACCTGAGACAGGCAACATATGTGCCTTTCATTTTTTTAAGCTGTATAGGCATTTAATAGTTCATAAATTTGTACAATAAAATTTCTCAAAATGAAGAAAACATTAATAAACTTTATTTTACACAGTCTGAAAGCAAAAAATCTGTAAACCACAAGAGCACACATTATGATTACTCTAATGCACTGTCCAGCCAATAAATTTTCCCTTGATCATAGTTTAAATTTCTGAAATAACCCATTCTTCTATCCCAATGTACACAGATACTCTGTTTCTCCTATAAGCCCAAAGAATGCACCTCCTCCTCTTCTTAGCTTTTTATTCACACAACCCAGAATCTTTTCTTTTCAATTTGTCCATATCATCTATCATATACGTACTACTTTATATTGTCTTATTTCAAAGTAGACAATAAATTCACTCATTTTTGTATCAAAGAAATAATCATGGGCAAGGTACTTGCCTTGCATATGGCTGATACAGGTTTGATTTCTGCCAATATATAGGGTCCCCTGAGCACTGCCAGGAATAAGACAGGAGCACCACATAAAGTTGTGTATCCCCAACCCCCAGCACTATGGGTAAAACAAAACAAAAACAAAAAAATCAATGGAATTATACAACAATAATACTTAAACATGGAATAAACATGAAATAATAGAGTTGAAACTCCAAGACAATGTGCTAAGTGAAAAAAGTCAAACACAAAAGACAACATACTGCATGATCCCATTTATCTTAAATTCTAGAAAAGATAAAACTAAAGTGGATAGAAAGGAATGTGTGGGTTGGCAGAGCACGGCACAGAAAAATTCATTTTAAAAATCATTTCAGGGGGCTGGAGCGATAGCACAGCAGGTAGGGCGTTTGCCTTGCATGCAGCCAACATGTCCGACTTGGGTTCGATTCCCAGCATCCCATATAGTCCCCCGAGCACCGCCAGGAGGAAGTCCTGAGTGCATGAGCCAGGAGTAAGCCCTGAGCATCGCCGGGTATGACCCAAAAAGCAAAAAAAAAAAAAAAAAAAAAAATCATTTCAGGGAATGGAAATGTTCTTTATCATAAATGTTCTGTTATTACACAGCTATACGTTTTAATATTAAGATCATACTAAAATTGGTGCTTTTAATTATCTAATTACATGTACATATTATTGTTGAATACATGTCAGTAAAGTTGACCCAAAGAATTACAGAAATTGATCACAACACCCAAAAGGAGAGAGAGAACAAAAGGGAATGCCCTGCCACAGTGGCAGGGGGGGATGGGGGGATGGGGGGGATGGGGGGGAGGGATATTATCCTGGTGGTGGAAAATGGGCACTGGTGGAGGGATGGGTATTTGATCATGGTATGACCGAAATCCAAACACAAAAATTTGTAAATCTACAACTGTACCTCATGGTGTTTCACTAATAATAAAAAAAATAATAATAAATAAAAAAAAAATTAAAAAAAAAGAATTACAGAAATTTATTTTTAAAAGTTCTCCCTAGAGGACTAGAACAATAGTACAGCGTGTAGGGTACTTGTCTTACACGCAGTGACTCTGAGTTTGATCCCCAGCACCCAATATGGTCCCCCTAAGCACTCCCAGAAATGATCGTTGAGCGAAGAGCCAGGAGTAAGCTCTGAGCACCTCTAAGTGTGGCCCGAAACAAAAATAAATTCTTTCTAATTAAAAAAAGTTTTTGTCTTTCACGCTATGAGCTTTTTAAAAATAATCTGATTGTAGTAGGTCTTACTTATACTTTATCTCTTTCACTTAACCATCTGCAATCTCAAAACCATTAAAAATAAATTTCTCTTTTCTCTTGGGGGGTGCTGGAGATCAAACTAAATTTCACACATAAGCAAGCCATATGCTTTACTATAGTGTCACATCCCCAGCTGGTAATAAATTTCTTAATGTTCTGTGGTACAGATTAAGATCGATCATTTAGAGACTGTCAGTTTTTGCTGACTAGAATGGATAATCAACAACCAAATGTTCCTTTTATTTAAAATATTATCATACACATAATATATGATACTTTTCTAATTCAAACTTTTAATTTTAATGATCTGAATCTTGATACTTGCTAGAACTTCTCTTTTCAGTTACATAGGAAAATCTGGAAAGTCCTAGATACAATAAACAGTAAATGAACAGAAAAGGAAAATCTAACAGACTTACTCGCTCCGCAGTCCCCTCCTCCCCTGGCAGACAGGCAGCGGCAGCGGCAGCGGCAGCGCACGCTATTTCCATCATAGCAGAGCTGGTAGGTGCATCAGTGGTGGATGAAGACCTGGGGCGACCGGCCTGCATAACAGCTGCCATCTCCTGGCCAGATTTTCTGTTGATTTGAGGACTTCCCTTGGGGGCGTCTGGCTTGCCCCGCCTACTATGCAAGCTCGTGCCTCTCTTCATCTTGGGCGGCACTCGTATCTGCTGCAGAACACGATTCAGAGCTGTGGGGTGGGTGGAGACACCATCAATCTCAGCACACGCATTCTGGCTTTCCAGATCCACTTCAGGTTCTGGTTCTGCCTGAATTTGTTGCACATCATGTGGAGACACTGATGACCTCCTGCGCTGGTGCTGGAAGAGATGCTTCAAGCCTTGACCAATCACATTAATGTTCTCCAAAGCATTGTGCGTCATTTTAGACAACTTTTGTTCTGATTCTGTTTGCTTTCTGGCCTCTGCATCTTGGGATTTGCCTCCAGGATCAGGGTCCTCAAATAACTGTTCACTGCCCGAAGGCTCCATCGGTTGAGCTTATTTGCAAGCTTTGCTTATTTGCAAAAGCAAAAAATTTAAACACACCCAGACTGTCAAATTAAGTAGGCATTTGCTTCACCAGCAACTACACATGCAGCTGTGAGACGAAGGCTTCATGCCTATCTAATGTTTTAAAAAAAAAGGAAAAGAAAAAGAAAAAAAAAAGCATTATAATCCATGCAGGAACTACAGTGTTAAGACAAAGAAAATATACCACTAGCCAAACAAATAGGCAATATTAAGCAATCTTTAATCAGAAGATTAAAGGACAGTTTTCTAGATAGTGCGCAATGGTTATTTTTTTAGAATAGGCTCAGAACAATTACACAAGAAACAAAAGAGAATTGATTTTTTTTTAAAAAGTTCTGAAAGTTTCAACATATGAAGAATTAAATACTGAAGGTCATTTTGGAAATACACTGTATGATAGTTGACGAAGAATCATTACTTTGGACATCGTGAGAGAACAGAACAGTCTAGCTGAGGCAATTCTTCTCATAATCACAATTAATTATCCATATGATGAAACACAGCAGAGTAAATTCAAAGAATAATAATAGTAAATTATAGACATCCTGAGCTAATAATGTGAGGATTTTAATGAAAAAGAAAAATTTCCTGCTGCCATTTATATTCATCAAGTTAACTAGAGGTGACAGGTTTGCTCCTTTACAAAGGCATAAATTAAAATCCGCTGAAGCATTTTAATTTATAAATAGAATTTGATTGAAGCACAAATGACCCTCTGACACAAAACGAGTGAATGATCCAGAATGATTCAGAATGATTCAGAGAGATTAGACCACTGCTCAATACCGGTTTATCAGGAAGAGACTCAAAGATGTCCCTTTTTTGGAATGGTTTTCATCCCTAATAGTGGCTCCCTCTAGATCCACGCAGGAATTGGAATAGTGGAATAACAAAGAAGATCAAAGCTCAAGCAGCAACTACAGAGCAGCATTAAATGCAGGAAATGAAAAAGAAGCTGAAACTGAGAGCTATAAGGTTAGCATAGAGTTAAGAAAACCACATGCAAAAAAAAAAATTGAGGGAATAGAAGAAACAATCTCTTTTCATAATACAAAGTATTTTGTATTAATTTTCTGCAAAATCAAAAGCTGCTAAAAGACAACAAAATATTGTGTGCAAAATTATTTCAACATTTTCCCTCAACTTCAATTAAAGGACTTTAAAAAAAAGCTCTAAAATGCCCACTACTACAGTATTCTGTAAAGTTGAAGTCATTACCAATGATCCCAGTTGCTGAGGCAATGCAGATTCCTCAGGCCAAGCAGCAATTGAGGGGATAGAAATCATCTGAATGCAAGAGTTTACTTGTCTCAGGTTACCCAAATTCAGAGGGTGAGTAATGCAAACCCATGGGAATTACCTGCTACCACTACTCCCAGAAAACCTCCTTAGCAAGTACCTGGATGCTGCTCCAGATCTGCTGTCCATATTCTTGCAGGCCTATTCCCTGACCTCTTCATGACTCAGAAGCACGAACAGGGTAACAAACTTTCACTTGTCTCTCGCTGATACCTTCCTACTCTCTAACTACTATAAAAATCATTTTCTTCCTATTTGGAAAATGAGTAGCAACCAATTCCCCGAAAATTTTTACTCAAATTCTTTGTGGCTACACTGAGTCTTGCCACATCACTGGAGCCTTTTAGCCTTTTCCTGGTTGTGCACTCTTCTTGTTTTTCCTTTTCCTTTTGGGAATGCCAAGGAAGAAACTCTAATCTGGGCTAGAGCAATAGTTCAGTGGGGAGGGCATTTGCCTTGCATGCAGCCAACCCAGTTCAATTCCCAGCATTTCATATGGTCTCCTGAGCACTGCAAGGAGTGATTCCTGAGTGCAGAGCCAGGAATATCCCCTGTGCATTGCCAGGTGTGACCCAAAAAGGAAAGAGAGAGAGAGAGAGAGAGAGAGAGAGAGGCCAGAATGGAGTTTTCTCAGGCTCCCTGCAGGCAAACTGTTGCCCACAGAGTAATATATCTATCCAATTATCACCTTTTCTCATGAGTTTGTAACGAGTAGGTGTTGAATTATTTCTACTATGCAAATTATTGCACTGAGAGGAAAAAGGTTATTTAAACAAACAATCCAGTAAGAGTGTAGCTCAACTAATATCTTCCAACCCAGGACTCAGTGTAGATGAGTGGATGAATGTGGGCATGTATTTCATAGGGGCCACACCCAATGGTGCTAGAGTGAGGGATACTGAGAGCACTTCTAATGATGTGGTATGGGCCTTATGCCTTAGTGCTCAAGAAGATGGTGCTGGGGGTCGCCAGGGTCCCACTTAACAGTGCTGGGGCAGGGGGTATATGATGCCAAAGAACAAATTCAAGATCAAATCAAGATCAAAAGTGCTAGGCATGGGGCTGGAGCAATAGCACAGAGGGTAGGGCATTTGCCTTGCACGCGGCCAACCTGGGTTCGATTCCCAGCATCCCATATGGGCCCCTGAGCACCGCCAGGGGGTGGTTCCTAGTGCAAAGCCAGGAGTAACCCCTGTGCATCACCAGGTGTGACCCAAAAAGCCAATAAATAAATAAATAAATAAATAAAAGTGCTAGGCATATGCTCTACCACTTGAGCTATCTCCACAGTGCCTGTGCTATTTAGAACTGAGATCATGGAAGAATGTAAAAGCTATAGGGTGGTAATGAGGAAGCAACTTATTTTTTCCCTTATTTACATTAATATGGATGTTTGAGTTTGTTTATGGAAATAAAACATGTAAATCAAGTTTTCCCCATGAGATAAAATATTATGAATAAAAGAATGGTATCAAATAAAAAAACCTTAATGACCTGCTTGTTTCAAATCTAAAGGCATTACAAGTTACTAAGCAATTTATTACCATTTTCTTGGGCAGTGATTCAAAATTCATCAGTGGCAATCTATTTATTTTTTAAAGTGGAAAATGCGGTAAATGTCAGTAAACTATTTGAGACTTACCTAGCCTTTATACATCTTTCTGTTCCCCAAATAATGTGAAATGATGATTGATAACAAGGAAATGCCAGCATTCCTAGGGATACTTAAGAAACAGGGGGCCAAGTTCAAGCTAAAGCCTACGCAGAATATTACCACAACTCCAGGATTTCCCTTAGCCTTACTAACTAGCCTAAGCCTGAAAGAATGCTAAACTGATTTAAGGCAGACCTTTAGAGGGCTAAGGGTACAACTTGCCTGTGAGAGACCCTGGGTTCAAGAAAACATTTAAGAAAACAATCCATTTTATTGATAATAGAATGTAACCTGCCACTACGCTGGCAATTATCAACTGCATTATTGTTGGTTATCAACAAAAATAAAAATACGGCTAGAATTTTGAAGCTTGTCGAAACACCCTATAGAACCACAGAAAAAACTTAAGACCACCTTTAAATATATGTCAAATCTAAAGTAAGTAAAAAAAAAAATGCCAAAATGGCCAGAGAGATAGTATAGGCAGTTAGGGCACTTGGCACTGAAGATGGATGGCCACAGTTCAATGCCAGGCACTGCAAATGGCCGCCTAACCACCACTGAGTGTGGCCCAAAAGTAAAAAATACCTACGAAGACCATGCTGCAATAATCACTCTATAAAACTGCTGACGGCTTGAAACTGGAGAGGTATCTTGAGTGGTAGAGAACGCAACTTGCTTGTGCAAGACCAAAGGTTAAATCCCTGGAACCTAAATGCACCTTCTTCATCCCCACCCCCATACACACATACCAACATGGCTGGGTATGGTCCCCCACAACAATTAAAAATTAAATGAGGGGTAAGCCAGAGCAATAGTTCTGTGGGTAGGGCACTTGCCTTGCACATGACTGACCCGAGTTCAATCCCCGGCACCCCATATGGTTTCCCAAGCCCTGCCAGGATTAATCCCTGGACACGGAGTCAGGATTAAGTCCTGAGTAATGTTAATTATTGCCTCAAAACCAAATAAATAAACAAATAAGGACTGGGGAGATGGCTCAGTGGTCAATGCACATACTTCCTAAGTTCATGGATATGATTTCAATTCCAGCATCATATGATTTCTAAATACTGTGATGGCTGCCCTGGGGGTCCCAAGTACTGCCACAGTATCACCATGGCCCAACACTGAACTATCAGCCATTGGCCAACTATCATTGAAAGTAACCCCCTTAGTATTGCTTGAAGCCCCCAGAAGACCAAAATAAAAGTTTTTAAATATAGTACATAAAACTTACTATGATTCCAAGGACTAAGGGAATTTAAGGTTCAAGTTTTTGAGACTCCTCTATTTCCTTCTTTGAGAACAAAACTAAAATGAATACTGTTTCTCAGCTTATAAAATGCCCCTAAATAATACACTGAGATTCCAGATACAATGATAAAACAAGTTCAACTGCAAAGCTAAGTGTACTTTCACTTAGAAAAAAAAAAGAAAGAAAAATAATGATATATTAGCTTCTCTTTTATTGACTCATCTCCTCTGAAAAATTCTTTTAAGTAAAGTAGAGGAAGCAGGGAAGGAAAAAGAGAAATAAAAAGACATGGGAGTAAAGGGGGAAAGAGTGAAAAGTATGAAAACAGGAAAGGGTGACCACATATAGATATTTTAGATAAGAATGTCAAAATCTCGGAATTTTAAATTGTTTTTTTTTTTGTCTGTCTGGGTTTTTTTGTTGTTGTTGTTGTTGTTGTTTGCTTTTTGGGTCATACCTGGCGATGCATGGGGGTTTACTACTGGCTCTGCACTCAGGAATTACTCCTGGTGATGCTCAGGGAACCATATGGGATGCTGGGAATTGAACCTGGGTCAGCCAAGTGCAAGGAAAACGCCCTACCCCCTGTGCTATCACTCCAGCCCCTTAAAGTTTTTTTCTACCACAATTTTGTCAAAAGCGATCTGTCACTAGCTCATAATCACAAGATATTGTTGTGATTATGAATTAAAACTAGAAGTTTTAAAAAAATGTTTTGAAAGTCTGTCAAATGTTTAATAAAAGGATACTGTACAAAAATTATTCCAAATCATACGCAAATGTTTTTAAGTTTTTCTTACTATTTTGGATTGTTTGGGTTTTTTTTTTTTTTTGGTTTGGTTTTTACTGTTCTCCCGTTGTTCATAGATTTGCTCGAGCGGGCCAAGTAATGTCTCCATTGTGAGACTTCTTGTTACTGTGTTTGGCATATTGAATACTCTCGGTAGCTTGCCAGGCTCTCCGAGAGGGGTGAAGGAATCGAACCCGGCTTGGCCGCGCTGGCTGCGCACAAGGCAAACGCCCTACCGCTGTGCTATCACTCCAGTCCTTGGTTTTTACATGCATGTTATTATTTTTCTTAGCTAAAGCACCCTGATTTACCATATTATTCATAGTTGGGTTTTAGACATACTATATACCAACACCAATCCCACCACCAGTATCTTCTTCCCTCTACCAGAACTCCCAGATTCCCACCCCACCCCAGCCCCCCACTCCCCCATCCTCAGTCTGCCACCTGGACAGGCACAGTTTTCAATTTGGTTGAAGTTTGGATTTCTCATTTTCAGTGTGTCTGACTCAGTGGTTTGGATATTTAGTTGTACCACTCCTTTACACCACCAGCGTAGTACTCAAATCCTCTTGATCCCTGCTCCCCCTCAATTTCTTCTTTATCCTTTTCCTGCCGGTACTCTGGGACCAAGAGTGATCTAGGCATTCCCCCTACATTTTTTCAACCACACCCAGCTGTGTTCAGGGTATACTCCTGGCTCTGCACTCAGAGATCACTCCTGGCGGTGCTCAGGGGGCATATGGAGTACTGGGAACTGAACCCAGGTAGACTGCATGCAGCAAGCGACTTACCAACTATACTATCTCTCTGGCCACACCAGTGTGGTTTTTTTAACAACAGATTAGAGACAAAAGCTTTTGGATTTGGCTATGAATCAAATTAATTTTACTGGCTTTCAAGAGTTGGGTACTTGCCTTTATCACTCTTCCTCAAGGATTTCTACAGTGTCCAGGAATTCTTTTTCGAAAAAGCTGAAAAGCAAACATTAAGAATTAGAAAGAAAGTTAAAACTTACAGGGTAAACATACACAGAAAAAATATATTAGCACACATATGACAAAATATTGTCATTTATCACTGGGAGGAGGAGGAGGAATAGGGTAAATTTTTCTACTTTTCAGTATTTTCTACTTTAATAAAAATTACTAAATTGAGATTCTATGGTTTTACAATGCTATTAATAATGGTTTCTCATGCACATAATTTCAACACACCAGTAAATATTTTCTATTTTAACCAAGGAAAATAATGATAAAGGCAATATTGGAGCAGTAAGATAGTAAGCAGGTAAGGAACTTGTCCTGATGCAAGCTGTGTTTGATCCCCAGCAATATATATGGTCCCCTGAGCACCAGTAGGAATGACTCTAGAGCACAGGGCCTGGAGTAAAACTGCCTGATCTGGCCCAAAACTGCATCCCTACCTCCCCTTCAAAAATAGTCAATATTGGATCAAGGATGTGACTCGACAGGAAACTCTTGACTTGACTCTGTGAGTCATAGTGCTAAATTTCCAACACTGAAAAAATTTTTTAAAAAATATTTAAAAAGGAGGAACAATCTGGGAGATGGGTGGCTAAGAGGAATGGAGCACAAGGCCTGGATTTTTAAAAATTAAGATAACAGAAAAGGTGATATATGAAAAAAACTGAAAAAAGTTGCTCTGGCTTATCAACAGTACTCAAAAAAGACAACATGGAAAAGAGCACTAATTAAGGTTTAATTCATAGAATAAAATGCATAATACATCGAGAAGATAGAATTTTAAATTTATATGCTTGTTAATCAAAGCCTACAAATATATAAAGCAAACCTTACCAGAATTGCAAGGAGAAACTTTTAACAACCCATGACTATAAAGTGGAAAATTTTAGGATGTTCTTCAGTAGCTAATTAGTGACCAAAAGGTGGAGAGGGGACCCTATGGGGAGAAAGCTCAAATGGCTGGAGAATGAGGGATCCCAGGTTCAATTCCCTACGCAGGTTCCCTGAGCACCATCTACAGCAATCCCTGAGCACCTTACCAAGCACAGTCCCCAGCACCACAAAGTGTTGCCCAAAACAGAAATTAAAAATGGAAAAGGGAGGGAGTTCAAATACAGATTTGAATGTACACTTAACAAAGTGGACTTAGATGCTTTTATAACACAGTGGACAAAAACTGAAGAAAAGCCTATCAAGTTCAGATTACTTACGAAAGATGCCAGAGTCAAGCCTCATGAATTATTCTCTGACCACAATGTGAATTTCTAAAGGTTTAAAGAGAGTGGAGAGAATCAACTCCACTGTTTACTGTAGACTCAACCTCTGGATTATACGGCAGGATGGAGCTCCATGACAGTCAAGAGATGGAGCAAAATGAGATTAGGTGGGGTCCTAAAAAACCCTGAAGAGAAGAAAGGCTCTTACTACGAAAAATGTCAAGAGCACTGAAGAATCCCATTACAATTAAGAAGTTTAAAGCCTGGACAGACTGATAAAAGGTCAAATGTGGGCTAACATGAGCGAGGTTTCTGTGGCGGCAATCATGGGGAATCTCCCACTCCATTACATGTGATGAGTCCAGAAACTGTAAAATGTTCTCCAATGAGTAAAAATTACAGTGGGATATAGCTTCCAGGGCTGCAAATGCTGATATACTCAAAATAAGAGCACAAAGGGAAAACCCAAAGCCAAGCAAAGAGATCAGAAGACAAGGGACGCTAGGAAAATTCGAAATCGCATTACCATGACAACGAGAAACATCAACTCCAGTAACCATAGCAATAATAAACTTCAAAGAATCCAACACCTAACAAGTTAACAAATTCTACCCTCAAGGACTAGTAAAAATAAACTTTTACTCTTTCAGAGATATCAAATATTTATCTTCGTATTTCCTGTCTTATACAACGTTAAAATTTCAACAACATAGTAAAAGGCACTGGAGGTGTATTTCAGTGATAAGAACATATGCCTTATATGTATAAGGCCCTGGGATTCAATCCTGACAAATCTCTACTCCATCAAAATTTATGAAGCATGTCAAAGGCAGTATAAACACACAACCTGATAAATAAAACAATCATTAGAACCAGACATAAATATGACAATTCAATTTTTTTTCCTTCTGCAGTGTTGAGGATTGAATCCAGGACCTCACATATGCAGGACAAATCTCCAGCAATACACTATATCCCCAGGCCAGATATGACCATTTTGAAACTATCAGGCAGGGAATTTAAATTATCGACAATCTGGCAAAGTTTCTAATGGAAAAATGTAGAGAATGTGAAAGATTAGGTACTCAATTTCTAAGAGATATGGGAATCACAGGAGAATCAAGTGAAAATGCTAATGCTAGAAATTAAAATAACCATAGCTTTTGAAGAGTTTATTAGCAGACTTTTGAAGAGTTTATTAGCAGACTTGAAACAGCTGAAAATATAATGAGTGAAAATGAAGATAAGGCAATAAAAATTATCCAAACCTAAAAGAAGAAAATAGAGTGCCAAAACTAGAGTACAGCAGATAGGGCTCTTGCCTTGCACCCAGGTTTGACCCCCGGTATCCTATATGGTCTCCTGAACCCACCAGGAGTGATCCTTGGACACCACCAGGTATGGGCCCTGCCCATAAAAGAAGTAAACAGGAAAAACAGTAGGAAAATGAAGCAAGAGAGAATATCCAAGGACTTTAGGAAAATATCAAACAGTGGAACATACTTAGAATGCCAGAAGTGAAAAAGAACAGAGCAGGGACTGGAGTGATAGTACAGCAGAAAAGGAGGTTGCTTTACATCTTCCAGACCGAGGTTCAGTCCCCAGATCCTGTATGGTCCCCGAGTACCACCAGGAGGGATTCCAGAGTACAGAGTACAGAGCCAGGAGTAGCCCCGTGCATTACTGATGTGGCTAAAAAACAAAACAAAGAAAAGACAGGGCAGAGGAAATATTCAAACCAAAGATCTTACACAATTAATGACAAAATACCAACCTATAGATTTAAAAAGTCTCAGAACGGCAAATAGGAGCCAGAAAGACAGCACAACAGGGTAGCGCACATGCCTTGAATGTTGGAGGCTGATCATTAAATCCCCAACACGACATCGTCCCTGAAGCACCTCCAGGTGAAGGCCTGATACCCCCCCAGGCACTGCTGGATATGGCCGTAGAGATCCCAGCACTGCTTTTCAGCCCTGCAGTGCTGGACCAAGTATCTCCAGTAGTAGCCCTCACACTCCTGAGTTCCCCCACATAAGAGGCCACACTCCCCAAATCTAATTAAAAATAGCTGTAATGCCAACAGAATACATATCCAGAAATAACACATGTGAACATATATTCAACTTGCTCATCATCAAAGAGAACCCTTAAAAAGGAGGTGAGAAACAGATGAACAAGGAAACAAGAATATGGAGCACAGTGAATTTCCTGTCAGAAACTTGCAAATAAGAGCAGTGGAACAACCTTGAAAAGCTGAAAGGAAAAACTGCCTAACCAGTATACTACAACCGGAGAAAATATTCCTCATAACAATAAAAACTTCCCCAATCAAATCAGAGAATTTACTGAAGCAAACTAATCCTGTAAGAAATATTAAAGAACATTCTGGGCTAGAGAGATAGCACAGTGGGTAGGGAGCTTGCCTTGCACATGGCCAAGCTGGGTTCAATCCCTGGCACCGCATACGGTTCACAGAAGCTACCAGGTGTGATCCCTAAGTGTAGAGCTGGGAATAAGACCTGAGCATCTCCAGATGTGGCCAAATAACCCAGGGCAAAAAAGAACATCTTCACACTGAAGAAATATTAAAAGGTAAGATATTAAGATTTAGTAAGACTATGCATATAACAATACAGAATGTCCCTTATATAACTTTAACTATTCTGAGTCTTTTTTAAAAGCAAAGTAGCACTGTAGCACTGTCCTCCCATTGTTCATTGATTTGCTCGAGTAGGCCCAGTAACATCGCCATTGTGAGACTTGTTACTGTGTTTGGCATATCGAATACATCACAGGTAGCTTGCCAGGCTTTTGCCGTGCAGGCGAGATACTCTCGGTAGCTTGCCGGGCTCTCCAAAAAGCAAAGCAATAATGTATAAATACTTAGATATATAAAAGTGACACAAGAAAAGGAAATATTATGTGTACAGTAAGATATATATCATATCTTATATATGTACATGAATGTATACTTATTTATATACATATCACTTGTCATCCCATTAATCTTCAATTTGCTAGAGCAGGTGTGAGGAACATCTCCATCATTCCTGTCGCATGCTATTGTAGTCCAATAGCACCTGCTCGCTCCAGGAACACGAAGAGCCTCGAACCATTTGTTCAGGGTTTTGCCAAAGTCATCTGACCATCCTGTAGGTGGGTGGCCAAGGATCCTTTTCATCCCGTGGAATCCAGTTGGTAACAGCTCTAGTCCAGCAGTCGTCTCTAAATCGCATTACGAGTCCGGCCCATCTGATTTTCAACACCTTGGCAAACAAAACAGGTTCCCTGATTCTTTCTTTCTTTTTTTTTTTTTTTTGCTTTCTGGGTCACACCCGGCGATGCACAGGGGTTACTCCTGGCTCCCTGGCTCTGCGCTCAGGAATCACCTGGCGGTGCTCAGGGGACCATATGGGATGCTGGGAATCAAACCCGGGTCAGCCGCGTGCAAGGCAAATGCCCCACCTGCTGTGCTATTGCTCCAGCCCTGCTTCCCTGATTCTTGATCATCAGAACTCCATATTCCTTCTCTCTCTTGAGGGAAATGTGATATTACAAGCATAGCTCTTTCGATTCCTCTTTGGGAAACACGAATAGCGTTCTCATCCTGTTTTCATAGGGCCTAGATGTCTGAGGCATATGTTAGTGCATGAAGAATGGGGGAGTCGAAAAGATAAGCCTGGAGCCAGAGATTCTTCGTCCTCTTAACAATTTCTTCGATGCTCTTGAAGGCGTTCCATGCTGCTCTCTTTCTCCTGCGCAGTTCCA